AGTAGGACCGGGGCCGGGCCCTTGCTGGGGCGGGCAGGGGTCAGAGCCCGCAGCCCACCGACCGGTGCCTGTGCGGGGAGGGCGCCGGGGTTGGGGTGGCCCTGGGCTGGGGGCGGCTCTGTTGTCCTGCACTCCCGGGGCCATCAGAGAAACAGAGCGTCCAGGAGGATGAGGTGGGCGTGGGGCTCTAAGGGCCCTTTCTCCCCAGCCCTTGCCCCCTCTCACCAGAGGCAGCTTTGTCAGGGTTCCCAGGTGCTTCCCATTCTGATAAACGTACCTGGAAGACACGCCGACAGGCAAGAAGCTAACTGGGAGACGGTAAAGGGGCCTCCCCCGCAGCTCTGGGTGGTCCAGCCGCTGAAGGGAGGCACAGGCGTCTGGAGTGCAGACCCGAACTGATAAGCCCCTCCTGCGCAGCCTGGGGTGCGCCGCCTCCTCCCACACGTCCCCTCCCTGGCGGGAAGCCCGGCCCCGTCCGCCTGGGCTGCCCTGAGCCCAGGACTGGGCTCGGGGTGCGAGGAACAGCTCACAGGACGCATCAGTCACCCGTCTTGGTCTTAAAGGTGGACGGTGCCGTCCCAAGGGACTGCCCCCCCACCAGGAAGCGAAGGGAAAGGATGTGACCGCTGGTCTCATTCCTGGTGTCTCAGAAGGCAGAGGCCGCAGACAAGGCGTGCAGGTGGGGGTCCGCTGACCTTGAGCCCGAGGCCCCTGCAGCGTTCAGGCCCCTCTGCGGGAGGTGGGGGCCGCTCACCTGGTCCCCAGAGGGCTGTGCGTGGAGCCAGCCCCGAGCAAGCTGAGTCCGAATGGCTCCATCCGTGGAAGGAGAGCCGAGTTCGCCTCTTCCCCCTGAAACAACCCCACTTCTGGGCGAACCCAGCCCTCTCGGCGAGGTCAGCTGCAGGCTGTCTAAGCAGGAGCGGAGGAGACGGGAGGGAGCAGGCCGCGTTCCCAGCACACGGCTGCCGTCACTCAGCCGACACCGGGAGTCTGCACGGCTGGGAAGCAATTATTGTCAAAGTGCTGTTAAAATACGGTGCTAATTACGTTCTTAAGCAGCAGCTTGAGCTTTTTCCAAGTCTTCTCCCCTTTTGGAAGCACACAGACCAGCGCGTGAGACGCTGGATGTGCGTCCCTGGCGGCCACGCTCGGGAAGGCGGGTGGCATGGCTTCTGGAAGGTTCGTCTCGGAGGCCGAGAGCACCTGCAGTTGAACGTACGCCAGGGCCCAGCGCGGGGCTGTGCGCATGGTCTTCTGCGAGTTACCCGCTTTCTCCACCTCCGTGTGCGTCGAGAACTCCTGTGCAACGCGGGGAGCAAGTGGGGAGCGAGGACTCCGAGGGGTCTCAGACCAGGAGGAAGCACCAGCCCCGCGGCCGAGGCGCAGGGTGAGGGTGCAGCTACGGTGCCACATGCTCCCTCTCTCGAGGCCACCCCGTGGGGCAACCAGCTCTCCAGACCCTGAGCCGGACTCACGTCGTGGGAGGTGAAGGCTGTGGAGACCGGGTCCCCCGTCTTCACCAGGTGGGCCCTGTGCTGACCCCTCCTGCACAGGGAGTGCCAGGCCCCGGGCGGAGACTCCGACCTCGGTCTCCAAGGGCTGGGTCGTCTGGCTCCAGACACAGGCCCGGCGAGCAGCGCCCCTTCCTACGTGACGGCATCAGTAACACGGCGCTTAAAGGCAGTGGGTGCTTCCGGCCCAGCAAGGGTGAAGTGCACTGCCAGGCTGAGATGAGCTACCACGGCGAAGCTCAGGCCCCAGTGTGGCGCCCGGGCAGCGTGCTGGGGCACGCAGCGTGGACGGGGCAGGCTCGCTCCATTCCCTCCTGTTCAGAGCGTCCCAGAGCGCCCAGGGAGGACCCGTAGCCAGTGACCTTGCCCAGCTGGGACCTCATTCCAAACAGGAGCCCTGGTCCACCCGTGCCCGCGTTTCAGACGAGGACACTCAGACCTCGGAGGCCCCACACAGGACTTTTGAAGAACCCGCTTTTGCTCACGACCCACTTGATCTAAGAGGGAGCCTCGCGGGAGGGGTCTGCATCGAAGGCCCCAGAGAGGACCGCTGAGAATCTCTGGGAGAAGGCGGGGGCCGGGCCAGCCCTGTATCGGAGCCGCCGGGCTGAAGGCCACACTGTCCACTGCGGCTGTGTCCCTCAGCGAGGAGAATCTGCTGCCCAGCGAGCAGGGGGCAGCCCCGCTGGCCCCGCTCAGCCTGGCCCGGCTGGAGGAGGGAGCCCCCGCCTGCACCACCCAGGAGCAGCTGGAGCACGTTTGTTTCCCGTGAAACTGTGGCTCCGAGTAAAAACGCTGCCCGCGGCCCAGGTCTCCCCCCACACGCCACGTTAGCGTTAAGTAAACCCTGCGGCCCTCGCGGGCGTCTTTGGGTGGGAAAGGTTATTAGCTGGCGGTTCAGAGCAGGGACATTCTCCTGTGCCCCAGAGACACAATCATCTCATGCACGACGGCTCTGCCACCTGTCACACCTTCTGGTTCAATTTCTTTTAATGAAAAACAGGGAGGGGTGGTTCCTCGCGTTGCAGCAGAGCCGACTGTGCTGAGCTGGGACAGCCCGTCTCTGTCCCCTCTTCATCGCTGCCTGGCGCCTGGGGCTCCCATCCAGGCCCCGCCACCCCACAGCCGGCCGGCGCTCCCTCCCTAGACACCAGGGCCCTCCTGACACGCGCCCTGCACGCGCTGCTCCCAGCCCACCCCCACCCAGCCTCCCAGGCCTCGGGGCCTCCTCGGAGGGTCCACCTTTCAGTGGGCCCCCACCAGGACCCTGAGCCAGCCACCAGCACACCTGCCGGTGCTTCTGCCCACAAGTCCCAGGTTCCCAGGGCCGCGCGTGCCTGCCAGCGCCCGGGGTGTGTGCTGGCCCGGGCCGCGGTGGCTCCAGCCCCTCCCCAGCTTATGCTGGCGCTGGCCGGGCTCCTGTCCAGACAGTGCTGGGGTCTCTGCCAGGTGGTCCTGCCCACGTTTCCAGCTGGCGAGGCCCCGCAGCTGCAGGGGGGCCTTCCTGTGCTTGGGGAACTGCCCTTGACACACTGCCCAGCCGTCACTGATGGTCCGAGGACGCGGCACCCCTCTCCAGGGACCAGGTCTCCACATAGAACATGCTAGGTCTGAAGGCTTGTCGGCTGGGCCGGCCTCGTCCCCACGTCCACACACAAACACGCTGGGAGGTGCCGACGAGCGGGGTTCTCTCTCCAAAGTGCAGGTCACGCCCCGTCCACCCAGCCCCCACGTGGCGCCCTGGGAGCGTCTGAGACACAGAGGGAGATGTGTATTGTTTGGTGACATGTCCTTTTTCCCTTTCAGCCACCGGATCTCCAAGTCCAAGTTCAGGTGAGTGAGATGCACGCCGCCCTCCCTTCCTGCAGCCACCGGCTCCACGTCCAGCCCAGGGCTCAGGGTATTGACCTGGCGGGGGGCTGAGCGAGGGGTCCTTTGGAGGCGCTGCTTCTGTTCCTCACGGCTGTCAGAAGGCGGCTCAGGGATCAGACCAGGCTAATTGTTGAGTCTGAGCATCAGGACGTGAGCAGCCCCGGGCCTCGGAGGCTGTGGAACGTCGTGTGTGTCCCTCCCTTACAAGGTGACGTCCAGTGTGGTCACTGGCTGCTCTCGGCCACTCCACATTTGTGGAGCATGTGAGGTGGGGGCACGTGGGGTCTGACACTGCTGCTCCGGAACCTTCTGGGGACCCAGCTCTCCCGCCCCGTCTGCCCTGCCAGCCCCGCCGCCCACACGTCCCGTGGTTCCAACCACACGGACTCCCCGCAGCCCCGGGTCGTGCCCTGGTCTCTCGCACTTCGAGGCATTGCATGGGGCCCTTCTCTGCCTCTGTCCCTGGGTCCCCACGCCTCCCTCTGGAGAACTCAAGCTCCTGTCGAGGACCTGAGATGTTACCGCGTCTCAGCACCTTCCGCCAGTGCCCCTCCGTCCCCGCCTGGCTTGTACCTCTGTCGCTTCCTCGCCGGGCGT